TTTGTTGAACTCCCGAAAGGGAAATATGAGGTAAACGAGTATGCTTTAGAGTTGCAGGAAGGGCTGAATGACTCAACATCACCACCACCGTAAACTCGAAAATGTCTCACGAATTGAAAATCGAGTCTGAAGATCTGCGCGTCTTTTCACTGGAGGTTGCAAACTCTTCTCTGTTGTCTAATTGGAAATTTTGTTTGTGAGCAACGGAGAGGGGTTTGCAATGTCTGGGGCACAGTGTAGTCGTGTAGAACCTTGTGGTGCGCTACGACTGCACTTTGTGCCTCAGACTTACACGTTATGTTTCAGCCCGGGAGGTCCCGGTGGAAGAGGAGGTTTTCAAGGTATTTACATAAAAATAAGTGTTATTACTGTACTTCTTATAAAAAGGGAGAATTTATATGAAAAACGGGAGTATTATTTAGTGATATTTGGATCATTGATCCTGTGTTCGTACTATGCTCATTGATTTTCTGGGGTAAAATGTAAACAAATAAATAATATCGACTTCAACGACCAAGATTGATGTGCGATTGCGGATCACTTATAGGGAAATGAATGAAATTTGAATGAATGATCAATTTTTTTGAAGGTGGTCTGTTCGTCCTAGCTTTTGATTGTATATACGATGATGTTAATTGTTACAGAAGAGTACAACATAAGGAGATAATACAACGCTCAATGAAAAGTTTACGATGTCAAGTCAGCTTAAATGCCATCAGGGTGAATACTGCATAGAACTAGTAGGCGTACATAGCATTATGCAACAGGTTGCGCAGGAGCTCGTCATAAATCTATAAAGCTCAGTTTTCTGTGTGATGGTATTAATATCTTTGTTTGATTTCACACTTGAAGTGGTATATGTATGGTATCAGTGGTGTAAAATTGCGGTAAAATTTTATGTACAGGACTGTGCTAAGCAGTCATGCAGAAAGAAAGTGTTGAAACTAAAGGTTGGAAGTTGAAGCAGAAGAAAAAAGCTATTTCAAGTAGGAATTTGGAAGAAATCAGGTTCTCTCATCAAAGCAAAATAGTGTTAAGTAGCAAAAATTGCCAGGGAGGTGTTTCATGTATTCAAATTGTAAACCATATTGAAGGTGTGTAGGATTTCATGAAAATCGATTGAAATGCCCACAAGTTAAGAGTATTTCTAACTGGTATGAAACAACTGTGTCTGTGTGTTCAAAAAATGCAGTGCAAGAAGTAACTAAATGAAAGGTATCATATTCCTCCGCAATTGCACATCATATATCTTGGACGTTGATGTTGAATTGATCAAACATTTCATGTCATTTATCCCATTTTGATTTTTTGTAGATCGTGGGGACCGTGGAGGCCGTGGTGGCTACGGAGGAGATAGAGGTGACAGTGGAGGTTTTCGTCACGATGATCGTGTTGAGCTTAAGGAGACTGTATTTGTGCAAGGAGTACCTGTCACGTAGGCTTTTGCTATCTATGAAGCTAATATCCACTGATAACTGCTACCTCTACTTCAAGCATATGGAATAAGTATTGCATTACAGGGCAAATGAAACCTACATCGCTGATGTCTTTAGTACTGTTGGCGACATAGCTAAGAATGACAGAACAGGAGCTCCGCGAATAAAAATCTACACAGACAGAGGAACGGGAGAACCTAAGGTAAATTGATTTAAAAAAAAAAGAATCATATTTACTCTGGTCACTCAAATGCTTTTATTCAGGGAGAATGCATGATCACATTCGCTACCGCTGAGGTTGCTCAGCGCTGTATTGAAATGTACAATGGTCAACCATTTCCTGGTGGTGACCGCCCAATGACAATCTCTATTGCTAAATTCAAGCCAATGGATCCTAGCGCTCGAGGTGGGCCAGGTGGTGGTTTCCGAGGAGGTCGCGGAGGAGGAGGTAGAGGCGGATTCGGTGAGCATATTGGTCATGTTTATGTCGACGTTTTTT